GCCCGACCTGCTCATGGAGACGCAGGGGAGGAGGCCTGGGGTAGAGACGCCGGGAAGGAAAGATACCAAACCAGATATACTACTAGAGATACCATCGCTCACCCGACCCTTCAGCTCCCAATGCCGAACTCCCAAGCTCTCGCCCCTCCTCTCATGCCTTTTTGCCCGTGCCTTCTCCCAAGCCTCCTCCCTTTCTCCCTCCCAAGCCCTCGAGGCCTGCCCGCCTCCGCCAGGCAGGGCCTTCTTCCACTCTCCCGTCCCTACGCAGTGGCACAAGCATACCCAGCCTCTACCCCCTCTACCCATACACGCAGCTCGCTCCCCCGCTTCACTGAGCCCTCTCGGACTCCCCGCCAGCATCCGCATAGCCGCCATCACCGTGACGGCGTCGTCCTGAAGATGCGGGGGCGGAGCGTGTCAGTCTGGCCTTGCGCATTCACACTCTATTCACAAGCTATTACATTACATGCACTTCTGCCCCCACACCGCAAGCTCGCGGCTACACTCCTCCTCCGCTCTCCCCGCCTCCGGGGCCCTCCTCTTCCTCCCGTCTCGCTGTCTCCGGGCGGTCGCCCCCCTGCTCTCCCGCACTCTGCCTATCTCGTCAAGCAGGCTCGGCCTTGCCGCTGACGCCTGTCTCGACTCTGACGTCCTGCCGCCGCGAGCCGCCCCAGCGTCCTCCTCCCCTTGCGCACAGGTCTCCGAGCTGGCCAGCCGCTGCTTGTCCTGGAGGCGCTCGAGGTAGCGGAGCTGGTCGGGGCTGAGGAGGAGCCGCTTGGGCCGGGAGCTTGAAGGGAGGCAGGAGGCGGGGCGGTACCACCGGACGCTAGACTCGACGAGGACGACGGACTTGGCTACCATGGGAGGGAGGGGGCGGCAGCAGCTTGCTTGAGGGTGTCGCAAGTGCGATGGCTTACATGCGACTAGTTGCGGGGGCGTACAGCAAAAGTCACGAGTGTGGCACGGAGAGAGTAGGCCTGGGGCTGAGCGGTTGAGGTTTAGGCCTCCTTGGCGGGTGCCGCCCGGTAACGAGAAGAGGTCATTGCGATGCGGAGGCCATGCAAGTCAGCCTCAAGGCGATCCGAACTTGAGGCTTTTCGCTTCCAATCCCAGTCTGGTCCTCGTGACCGGTCACGAGCCTCAAAAGGTCGAAAACGAAGTTGCGACCTCAGGCAATGGATCCCGAGCTTGTCCATCGGAACGAGCATGTCGTGGTGCTTGAGGCCGTCGGGCACCTGTAGCGCTTCAGCACGCGAGCGTCTACAGCAGACCGATCTGAGAGTGCGCGCCCCCCCTCCTACCCCGCAGCTTCAGCCCAGTCATGAGCGTGTTCTCTGATTGAAAGAAGCTGGAGAAGAGGCGGGTTTGCATCTAGACGTATCACCAGCCCGGGATGGCAAGCGACGTGCCAAGCGCCTCCCTCAGCCACCTGAGCGATCCGAGCTGACACAAGCATGCAACGGCAGACTCAAAGCTCCCCTCACACTCACTTAGTACCCCTCCCGTGATGCCCCAGTCTGAGAGTAGACCAACGCATACTACATAAACAGCCTCTGCTCTCAGGCAGCACCATCTTCCGTCCCCAAGCCCCCCCACAGTGCAGCACAATCATCAACTCAGCCCCCGCCATCACGGGGCGGAGCGTGTCAGTCTGGCCTTGCGCATTCACACTCTATTCACAAGCTATTACATTACATGCACTTGTGCCCCTCACACCGCAAGCTCGCGGCTACACTCCTCCTCCGCTCTCCCCGCCTCCGGGGCCCTCCTCTTCCTCCCGTCTCGCTGTCTCCGGGCGGTCGCCCCCCTGCTCTCCCGCACTCTGCCTATCTCGTCAAGCAGGCTCGGCCTTGCCGCTGACGCCTGTCTCGACTCTGACGTCCTGCCGCCGCGAGCCGCCCCAGCGTCCTCCTCCCCTTGCGCACAGGTCTCCGAGCTGGCCAGCCGCTGCTTGTCCTGGAGGCGCTCGAGGTAGCGGAGCTGGTCGGGGCTGAGGAGGAGCCGCTTGGGCCGGGAGCTTGAAGGGAGGCAGGAGGCGGGGCGGTACCACCGGACGCTAGAGTCGACGAGGACGATAGAAGCAGGAGAGCAGGTCATGGTCAGGCTGGGAGGGAGTGCGGGATGGCAAGCGTGAGCCGAGGCTCTGGCCTTGTCCTGGTGATCTTATAGGGGCAGGCAGGGACGGCTGGCGTCATGGCTGAAGCAGGTCAGCGGGTACGAAGCGGTGCGAGAAAGGCTTGGGAGGCTTGAGATACGCCCCCATGAGAAGCGGGAAGGGCGCACATGTGTGGGGTTTGTGGCCGCAGGCGGCCTCGTGGGACGAAAGGGCTCGATTTCGAAGACGAATGTGCCTCCTCAGATAAGATCGGATCTCAATAGGGGCAGTACTCTACTTGTCCGTGTGACCCGAGTCACGAGGCACAAACGGTCGCAGTGGATGAGTCGCTCTGGATCAAGACATGCGTCAACCAAGTCAAGTAGCCGTACAGCCCGTACGATACAAACATGCTGCCTTGCAGTATTGAGAACGCTCTTCCTCCCCTCCCCCGCAAGCTTTTGCCTCGTGTCTCGGAGCTTGATCCCGTCGCGTCCTCCTCCTGCTGCTCGCATGTCTCAAGGCGCACCCGCTGCCCGACCTGCTCATGGAGGCGCAGGGGAGGAGGCCTGGGGTAGAGACGCCGGGAAGGAAAGATACCAAACCAGATATACTACTAGAGATACCATCGCTCACCCGACCCCTTCAGCTCCCACTGCCCGACTCCCAAGCTCTCGCCCCTCCTCTCATGCCTTCTTGCCCGTGCCTTCTCCCAAGCCTCCTCCCTTTCTCCCTCCCAAGCCCTCGAGGCCTGCCCGCCTCCGCCAGGCAGGGCCTTCTTCCACTCTCCCGCCCCTACGCAGTGGCACAAGCATACCCAGCCTCTACCCCCTCTACCCATACACGCAGCTCGCTCCCCCGCTTCACTGAGCCCTCTCGGACTCCCCGCCAGCATCCGCATAGCCGCCATCACCGTGACGGCGTCGTCCTGAAGATGCGGGGGCGGAGCGTGTCAGTCTGGCCTTGCGCATTCACACTCTATTCACAAGCTATTACATTACATGCACTTCTGCCCCCACACCGCAAGCTCGCGGCTACACTCCTCCTCCGCTCTCCCCGCCTCCGGGGCCCTCCTCTTCCTCCCGTCTCGCTGTCTCCGGGCGGTCGCCCCCCTGCTCTCCCGCACTCTGCCTATCTCGTCAAGCAGGCTCGGCCTTGCCGCTGACGCCTGTCTCGACTCTGACGTCCTGCCGCCGCGAGCCGCCCCAGCGTCCTCCTCCCCTTGCGCACAGGTCTCCGAGCTGGCCAGCCGCTGCTTGTCCTGGAGGCGCTCGAGGTAGCGGAGCTGGTCGGGGCTGAGGAGGAGCCGCTTGGGTCGGGAGCTTGAAGGGAGGCAGGAGGCGGGGCGGTACCACCGGACGCTAGACTCGACGAGGACGATGGACTTGGCTACCATGGGAGGGAGGGGGCGGCAGCAGCTTGCTTGAGGGTGTCGCAAGTGCGATGGCTTACATGCGACTAGTTGCGGGGGCGTACAGCAAAAGTCACGAGTGTGGCACGGAGAGAGTAGGCCTGGGGCTGAGCGGTTGAGGTTTAGGCCTCCTTGGCGGGTGCCGCCCGGTAACGAGAAGAGGTCATTGCGATGCGGAGGCCATGCAAGTCAGCCTCAAGGCGATCCGAACTTGAGGCTTTTCGCTTCCAATCCCAGTCTGGTCCTCGTGACCGGTCACGAGCCTCAAAAGGTCGCAAACGAAGTTGCGACCTCAGGCAATGGCGCCCGAGCTTGTCCATCGGAACGAGCATGTCGTGGTGCTTGAGGCCGTCGGGCACCTGTAGCGCTTCAGCACGCGAGCGTCTACAATAAACCGATCTGAGTGTGCGCGCCCCCCCTCCTACCCCGCAGCTTCAGCCCAGTCATGAGCGTGTTCTCTGATTGAAAGAAGCTGGAGAAGAGGCGGGTTTGCATCTAGACGTATCACCAGCCCGGGATGGCAAGCGACGTGCCAAGCGCCTCCCTCAGCCACCTGAGCGATCCGAGCTGACACAAGCATGCAACGGCAGACTCAAAGCTCCCCTCACACTCACTTAGTACCCCTCCCGTGATGCCCCAGTCTGTGAATAGACCAACGCATACTACATAAACAGCCACTACTCTCAGGCAGCACCTTCTTCCAACCCCAAGCCCCCCCGCAGTGCAGCACAATCATCAACTCAGCCCCCGCCATCATGGGGCGGAGCGTTTCAGTCTGGCCTTGCGCATTCACACTCTATTCACAAGCTATTACATTACATGCACTTCTGCCCCTCACACCGCAAGCTCGCGGCTACACTCCTCCTCCGCTCTCCCCGCCTCCGGGGCCCTCCTCTTCCTCCCGTCTCGCTGTCTCCGGGCGGTCGCCCCCCTGCTCTCCCGCACTCTGCCTATCTCGTCAAGCAGGCTCGGCCTTGCCGCTGACGCCTGTCTCGACTCTGACGTCCTGCCGCCGCGAGCCGCCCCAGCGTCCTCCTCCCCTTGCGCACAGGTCTCCGAGCTGGCCAGCCGCTGCTTGTCCTGGAGGCGCTCGAGGTAGCGGAGCTGGTCGGGGCTGAGGAGGAGCCGCTTGGGCCGGGAGCTTGAAGGGAGGCAGGAGGCGGGGCGGTACCACCGGACGCTAGACTCGACGAGGACGACGGACTTGGCTACCATGGGAGGGAGGGGGCGGCAGCAGCTTGCTTGAGGGTGTCGCAAGTGCGATGGCTTACATGCGACTAGTTGCGGGGGCGTACAGGCAAAAGTCACGAGTGTGGCACGGAGAGAGTAGGCCTGGGGCTGAGCGGTTGAGGTTTAGGCCTCCTTGGCGGGTGCCGCCCGGTAACGAGAAGAGGTCATTGCGATGCGGAGGCCATGCAAGTCAGCCTCAAGGTGAGGCTTTTCGCTTCCAATCCCAGTCTGGTCCTCGTGACCGGTCACGAGCCTCAAAAGGTCGCAAACGAAGTTGAGACCTCAGGCAATGGCGCCCGAGCTTGTCCATCGGAACGAGCATGTCGTGGTGCTTGAGGCCGTCGGGCACCTGTAGCGCTTCAGCACGCGAGCGTCTACAGCAAACCGATCTGAGTGTGCGCGCCCCCCCTCCTACCCCGCAGCTTCAGCCCAGTCATGAGCGTGTTCTCTGATTGAAAGAAGCTGGAGAAGAGGCGGGTTTGCATCTAGACGTATCACCAGCCCGGGATGGCAAGCGACGTGCCAAGCGCCTCCCTCAGCCACCTGAGCGATCCGAGCTGACACGAGCATGCAACGGCAGACTCAAAGCTCCCCTCACACTCACTTAGTACCCCTCCCGTGATGCCCCAGTCTGTGAATAGACCAACGCATACTACATAAACAGCCACTACTCTCAGGCAGCACCTTCTTCCAACCCCAAGCCCCCCCGCAGTGCAGCACAATCATCAACTCAGCCCCCGCCATCATGGGGCGGAGCGTTTCAGTCTGGCCTTGCGCATTCACACTCTATTCACAAGCTATTACATTACATGCACTTCTCCCCGCACACCGCAAGCTCGCGGCTACACTCCTCCTCCGCTCTCCCCGCCTCCGGGGCCCTCCTCTTCCTCCCGTCTCGCTGTCTCCGGGCGGTCGCCCCCCTGCTCTCCCGCACTCTGCCTATCTCGTCAAGCAGGCTCGGCCTTGCCGCTGACGCCTGTCTCGACTCTGACGTCCTGCCGCCGCGAGCCGCCCCAGCGTCCTCCTCCCCTTGCGCACAGGTCTCCGAGCTGGCCAGCCGCTGCTTGTCCTGGAGGCGCTCGAGGTAGCGGAGCTGGTCGGGGCTGAGGAGGAGCCGCTTGGGCCGGGAGCTTGAAGGGAGGCAGGAGGCGGGGAGGTACCACCGGACGCTAGACTCGACGAGGACGATAGAAGCAGGAGAGCAGGTCATGGTCAGGCTGGGAGGGAGTGCGGGATGGCAAGCGTGAGCCGAGGCTCTGGCCTTGTCCTGGTGATCTTATAGGGGCAGGCAGGGACGGCTGGCGTCATGGCTGAAGCAGGTCAGCGGGTACGAAGCGGTGCGAGAAAGGCTTGGGAGGCTTGAGATACGCCCCCATGAGAAGCGGGAAGGGCGCACATGCGTGGGGTTTGTGGCCGCAGGCGGCCTCGTGGGACGAAAGGGCTCGATTTCGAAGACGGATGTGCCTCCTCAGATAAGATCGAGGCACAAACGGTCGCAGTGGATGAGTCGCTCTGGATCAAGACATGCGTCAACCAAGTCAAGTAGCCGTACAGCCCGTACGATACAAACATGCTGCCTTGCAGTATTGAGAACGCTCTTCCTCCCCTCCCCCGCAAGCTTTTGCCTCGTGTCTCGGAGCTTGATCCCGTCGCGTCCTCCTCCTGCTGCTCGCATGTCTCAAAGCGCACCCGCTGTTGTTTCCAGTTTTTGTTATTCGTCGTGGGCATGTTTGTGATCACAAGGTTCAGATGCTGGCGAGGTTTGAGGTAAAAAAGGCGTCATTCACGGATGTGAGATCGATCTTCCAGTGCAATCGAAATACGCCCATCTGTGCCAGGAACTGAATCTTGAAGTTTGTCATCGATGCCAGATCGCAGGCCTGTATGATATCTTCAAGTGCATAGGAAAGCCTCAGGGCAGCTTGAGCGACAGTGTCCGGATTGGTAACTATTGTAATCAACTTCGGGGATCCTGATATGACCGGGCCGCGTATATCATGCTTCGGTATGTTTTCACAAGGGAGGATGTACGTGTTGAATCGAAACAATCAGTTGAAAGCTTTCAATGTACGAGCCTGTGCTTGTCATCATTTCACATGGAATCAACCCTGCTTTGCGTTCTTATTTCCATATTTCCTTAGAACATCTCCAATATTCGGTAGGGATTTGTGTACATAAAGCATGTCGCCAAATCCACCATGCATCTTGACATAAATGTAACCATTCGCTTTCAAAATGGGCGCAAGCTTTTTTGGGCGCTCGACCGTCATAGTCAAAAACTTGTACTTGTGCCAAGGAAAATCTTTGAAAGTATGATATTCAGCGCCCTCAATATCCAACGACAGATAATCGACAACTTCGGGTACTTGGAAGTCTTGAAATAGTTTGGTGATGCTTACAGACGTAAAGTTCATCACAGATCCTCTGACTTGTTTGTTATCAAAATCATTTCCGACGATTCCACCAAACTCATCCCTCATAGCAAAAGACACTTTTTCACCCGTCATGGCAGTAGCGACGGCGACTGCCAACTTACACTTCCTTCTCAGCAGCCCTTGTAGGTAGCGTGGGTTGGGTTCGATGCACAAGCCATTCCAACCATACTCTTGCTCCAACGTCAAGGTGTTACTCAGTGCAACTGCATCATTGCTAGCCAGATCGATGAAGTATCCACCTCTCTTACCGCCAAAGATATCCACGATAGTTCTGTCTTGACCAACTTGACTTGTCCATCGTTGTGGAATGCGATCCCATTCGCCGCTTCCGCGATAGTAACCGACAACCTTCCATCCTCCTTCTGCGCTGAAAGCTGAAACGTTGTCACTCTTTGCGATGTTCGTAGTTTGATTCTTCTCAGGTGCAACAGCCTCATACTTGCGCATGTTTGCCGTCTGCCATCTTTCATCTCTACCTCCCATCACTGCCAGCAACACCAGCACAAGAAGGCCGACCTGGCATAGCTGAAGCCCCTCCCGCATTGCTCAGCTGCTCCCAGAGCTGCTCCCCTGTTCAAAGTAGGAAAAATCCCACGTCATAATCCGAACTTGAAAAACTTGAAGCCGGGCCGCGGGCCCGGCGGGCCCGGAACTGACAGGCTCAGTCACCGTCCGATCGGACCATCTGCCACTGTCAACTTCACGGTTGGCAACCGTGGCCCCGGCTGAATCATCCGGCGGCCCGGCTACCTCGAGTTCCGCCGCAGGCGGGGCCCGCCCGCTGAGCGGCCGGCTCAGGCCGCTTTTGCTAGTACGATGCGGCCCGCCGGGCCGGCCGCCCGGCCCCGGCTGAGGCCCCGGCGGGGCGGCGCCCTGAGCGGCTCAGTTCACTGCCAAAGAGCTCAAATGGTAGAACGAGGTACCCCTTGTTTCTAATCACCCCAAAATTATTGGATCAAATCATGGGTACTCAATTACTTTGTCTTTTTTTTTGAATTTTAGTATTGTAAAATAAGTTTACTAAAACCTGTTAGTTGGATCGTTACTCTGCTTCCCTTCTGCACCCATTAGTTATCAGCGCACACGCTCTGCTCCATAGCCGCGACGGCGCAGGGCCCCTGCCTTGATCCTCCTCCTCCTCTTGCTCCTCCTCCCCTTCCTCTTCTCACCCTTACCCATCAGTCTCTCCCTCTCCTTCTCCTGCTCCTCCTCCCCCCCTTCCTCTTCTCACCCTTACCCATCAGTCTCTCCCTCTCCTCCTCCTCTTTCTCCTCCTCCCCTTCCTCTTCTCCCCCTTACCCATCAGTCTCTCCCTCTCCTCTTCAGTCGCTCCCCTCCCCTCCCCTCCCCTCCCCTCGTGTCTCTGCTCATATTGCTGTGCAAGAGTTCAGTCGAGTTGCGCAAACTCATTTGAGCCCATCAAGTGAGCTAGTCTCACTTCACAGTCATTGAAGTTCTTCAGCGTTCCCGCCGTATCTTTCTTCTCATCTCTTGCTGTTTTCCTGGCAGGTTGCTCGTGAATCGCGTGCCTGGGGCTGAAGTCTAGCCCAACGGGCGGTGGGGATCGACAAAATGGAGAAAGGGGAGAAGGCGGAGAGGGCGGAGAAGGGGGAGAACTCCTCTGCTACTCTCCCCGTGCAGAGAGTGAAGAATATCATCAGATCGAATGACAGGTTGC